TATAATTAAAATTGAATAGGATATTAATGGTCTCGATTTTGATTGGGAATATCCATGTGGTGATTATAAATCATTATATAGTCAATTTATTGAAGAACTTCGTAAAGTCGTAGAAAAAACATTTCAAGATGAATTTCTTTTAACGACAGCTGTTGGTGCAGGCAAATATACAATTGATAATTGTTATGAAATTGGACGCCTAGGTCAACTACTTGATCTGATTCATCTAATGACTTATGATTATCATAGTAAGATGCTTTTTTCTTTTTCTTTTATAAATTAATAGAAAAGAAGAAGAAAAAAAAAACCAACAAACTTCTCTATTGATTTAATTTCAGGCATTTATGATAAACAAACTGGTTATAGTTCACCAATTTATCCTAAAAATATTGAAAAAGATGAAGCTCGACAATATAATACAGAATGGAGTGCTGCTTATCTTGTTGAACAAAATGTACCAAAACATAAAATTCTTATTGGACTCGAAGGACTTGGTCATACATTTCAATTAAATAATTCATATAATCATGATTTTGCAGCACCTGTTGTTGGTGTTGGTTATGGTAATGGATGGATGACATTTATTGAATATTGTTTACTTATTAAAACTGTTGGATCACATTGGGATGATGAAGCTAAAGTTAATTATACATATTATAATGATCAATGGACTAATGTTGGTGATGTACGAGCAGCAGCAGAAAAAGCTTTATTTATTAAAGCAAATAATTATGGAGGTGCATTTACTTTTGTAAGTTCAAAAAATCAAAAGTAATAAATCGACTACTGCACTTTATACAATCAGTCAACGGAAATCGGAACATGAAGAAAAAAAAAAAGTGTGTCCCAGAGAATTGTAAAGTTCAGCTACTATTAAAATATGAAACGTTCAAATTTTTACACCTCTATTCACATCCATTCTCTAAGATTATGTTTTATTAATTGATTCTTAATTGTATATTTAGGGTCTTCATCTTGATGATCCAACAGATATTTGTCATCATGGAGAAACTTTTCCAATTCATCGAACAGTTGCTCGATATTTGCAATAATTGTGATAGTAGTTTAATTGTCTTTTTTTTTTTTTTGTATAAACAATTTTTTTTGTTTTTTCTATCTTATGATAAAATATTTTATTTGATAAAAAAAAAAAAAGCATGTACTAATAATCTCTCAGGATAAAAAAAAAGTAATGCATGTGATTCTGATATCAATGAACAAGATATAAAATTCAAATACTTAGCTTTAGTTCCATTTTCTTTTTCTATCTTAGTGTATATTCAACTATGTGGTCAATATTTCGTTATTATCTATATATTTTATTTTATTTTTTAACTTTCTACATAATAATTCATACAAGATCAATAAATGAAAACAATACTATTGAATTAATTGCTAATAATCAAGAACTTTTAATAAAATTTACAAAATATCGTCATCGTTTTGAACATTCAATAAATTTGAAAAAAATTCATTGGATATTTAAACATCGATATAATAAAACTTATTGTGAATTTTGTAATTTAGTTGTACCAGTAGTAAGAGATTTTGTTTTTTTGAATTTATTTCTACGAAAATTTTCTATATCGTTTCTTAGGTTCGATTACTTATTGAAGCAAATCAAACTATACATATAGAAAATGTTGTTAATGGATTTTGTAAAGAATTTAAATTAATTGATATCAATGTTTGTATTGGTGCTGTTCATGAATATAAAGTAAATTATTTTTGAAAAACAAATCAAAAAAAAAAATTATTCTTTTTTTTTTTTTTTATTTATTTTTAATTAAATAGGATGCAGTAATTGAAGTAATATCGTTATCGAGTTATAGTAATAAACAACTTTGTGCATTAGTATTTAATTGTTATGAACGATTTGATTACCCTATATTAACATGGAATGTTACATTTCCTACTGATAAACCAAAACCATTACCACAACCACCACAACCACCAAAAGTAAATTTACCAATAAGCATTATATCGTTTAGCAATAAGTCTTATAACATCACGTTCACTATCAAGTACTTTACTTGTTCGTGTTATTTGATACCATGTATAAGATGTTTTTTCATTTAATGATTCATGAGGAAAAAGTTCATTAAGATCGATATGTTGATTTGATGAAATATTTTCATTGATATTTGTTTGAATATAACAACAAATTGAAGTTTCAAGCCAAGCATTATCTGTATTTTTTGGATCATCTAATTAAGAGAAAAGAAAAAAAATTCATATAAATTTTGCTCTCGTGATATATTTTCTCTAATGAAAATTTATTAAAATATTCTACCAATCAAAAATTAAATAAATTGCCTCTCTGTTTGTATCTTACTTATTTCCATGATGTTTAACTAGAACAGTTTTTCAGAAAATCAAAAATATTTTGAGAGTTTTGAAAGAAGTTTTAACTATATAGAAATAACGTAGATCTAAATCTTCCCTGATTTTTCAGCTGAAAACTAATGATATTTTAATGTAACATATGCTAATTGCAATTCGAATTTTTCGAGAAAATAATTGTCGAAGAGAAGTGGGGCATTAGAAGCATATTACAATCAGATGTAGATATCGTTTTGACCCTTGTGCTCTGCCAGTGCTTCTCAATATCATATGAACAACATAAGTCGTATCACGGAAAAGTCAAAAGAGACGTTTTAATTCTTCATAAAAAGTTTAAAGAAATTTTCTCTTTGTATGCTCTGATATTTGACCATTCTTCAACTAATATTATAACAATAAAATTTCGATTAGAATTGTTTTTTATTATATGCGACGATAATATTAGATCATATTTTATCTTCAATATGTATCCTTTTCTTACAAAAGATGTTGACGATAGAACAAAATAAGAAATACAGAAATAAATTCATCAAGTTTTTATTTAAATAAGTGAATAATCAGGATAATTATTTCGAACATTTACTGAAATAAAGGCTTGTTTCTGTAGTTCTTTCTTGTTCTACCGCCAATAGAGCGCGTCGGGCCCGAAACTTTCTGATCCTGACTCGTTTGAATCGTACCTTGATATTAGAGTCTTGTATCTAAGATATTCTCATTAACAAATAGTCCTAAAAGAAGTATATATATTAAACAAAACATTTAACTCCGTATGATTCTACTTGATACTCTCAATGAAATTTTCTAACTGGCATTGAATAGTCGCTCCGAAGAAACGAGATACTTTTTTCCGGTTTTACAAATATCTCCGCCACTACTCTTTGTATGTTCTAAGTAGAAATCAATTACCGATATAAGCTGTACTAACAAATGTTAAATGTTTGATAATTTCATCGATTTTTGTCTCATTATTATTATCGAAATCATTCCATGTTTGATAAATATTAGAAAGAAATGTTTTAAGTGTTTTTTTAATTGCATTCATATTTGTTCCAGTTGTTGATGTAGATAATAAACGATAATAATGATCATGTTTTGGTTTTACCATAAGATATTTAAATATTTCTTGTCCAGATTTTATTTCATTTGTACCACACATAATAACAAGATGAGTTTGATAATTAACTGCCCAATATTTTAATTTTCCTCGTCCACATAGACCTGTACGACCAAGAGGATTTAATGGATAACCTTTTTTATCAATTGGATAATAACCAATAGGATTTGCTGTACGTCGATCAATATTATAATTTGTATCGAATGTATTCCACATAAAATTTGTTGTTATTATTTCTGGATCTACATCATTTGTATCATTGAGTAATGATGAATGTGTATAATAAGATGGATTATAACTTTAAAACAAAAAAAAAAAAGAAAGAATAGGAAAAAAAAATTAGAATTTTAATAATATTACTTTGGTAAATCAATAATCCATGGAACTTGATTATCATTGATTTGTTGACGTTGAATTGATGTTCCTGGATAAGATCCTTTACGACAATATCGATGAATAGGTAGAAAAGATTCTTTAATTGATGAACGATTTAATAAAATTTTCATCTATGAAAATAAATATAATTTAAATATTAAATATTAATTTAGTACTTGCTGTTGTTTACAATGTTGTCCACATGTATTAGCAATAATATGTTGATATGAAGATAAAAGTTCTTCTTCATCGAAAAGAATTTTTTCTTCTGATGTTAATTTTAATTGATAATGTTTAATTATTTGTTTTTTTGATTGAAATTTTAATAATTGTTGACAATATTGAAGTTTATCAAATATATCAATTTGAAATTTATTTGATGATTTCATTTTAATTTTTAATCATATATGATGAATATTGTACATCAACTATTGATGAATAGAAAAATGAGTTAGTAAGAAAAAAAAATCTAATAATACATTGTCTTAGAAAATACAAAACAAAAAAAAAGAAAAAAGGAAGACTGAAAAATTATTAGGCGCTTTATATATTTCATTTTAGCCTGGTTCACCAACATTCACTGTTTTACATTTATCGGATATTCATGTTGATTTTGATTATACACCTGGATCACAAAGTGATTGTTCTCAACCTTTATGTTGTCGAGGAGGTCAACCTGGTGAGTATATACAAAATTTCAAAATACTTCTCATCATTACCATTCGGTTTCTTTATTTTAGCTCCAGGTCATGCAGGTGCTGGTTTCTGGTAAGAACTTTTTAATAAAGAAAAAAAAAGATTAGTTAAAGTATAGTTCTGGACAAAATACATAATATTTCAATAAAAATTCTAAAAGGATTTCAGTTCTTTCGAGATATGAATCTTTCAAACAATGCAAGCTGTATACACTCTCCACGGAATAGGATCTATATAGGGATATATAGTTTCAAGTTTCATATCTCGAAGAGACTTTGTTTAAAACTTATGAATTTTGTTTTTTTCTAAATTTTTACTTTGTTGTATTTTAAAGATCACCGAAATCTCAAAAATTTGGAAAACCTAGGGTTTCTTTAGCATTGATGACCAATTAGAAAATTCGGTTTTCCTCATCTGAAAGGCTATGCATGTATCTATCGATGAAAAACAAAAATACAGTTCTCTAGATTGAAGTATATTTATAATTGTCTTTATATTTGTTATGCCATCGAACAACATGATTAAGATAGAATATGCATCAAAATTTTAGATTTTTACGTGTTTCAAATTTCTCCGCCATTTCAAATGCTAAAAAATTCGGGTTGGTGTCAAAATGAAGACAAAAATTAGCTGTACAACTTAACAGGGATCGATTGTTCGACTCCTTGAAAACTCTCCGGATGAAATATAGAAAACCTAGGATGGAGTAGGTCTATAACAGTTTCTGTTAAGTTGTAGAACTAATTTTTGCTTTCATTTTGATACCAAGCCGCGCTATCTGGCGTTTAAAATGACGGAGAAGACATCTGTACATATACTCTATTAAGCATATGGGTCAGCGGCATCATCTGCCATTCAAAGACTGTCTTGTTTTTTGTCAAACACATGATTAATTGTAAATAATTTCATAAGCAATTTGAACTCAATGTATAATCTTTCTTTATTGAAATTCATTTTCTCGAGTATTGATGTCTCTGGATCCTCGATACTAACAAGATGACTATCCATGCAGCATATCCTTCTAGCATAACATTTGAGATGTGAATAGTTCCATTGATCTACATTCATGATGGAGTATGAACATACAAATTAGAGCAAAGACTTTTGTTGAAGAATATATATGATTTATTTTTAGGGGTGATTTACATAATTGTGATATTCCATATTGGACAGCAGAAGCTATACTTCAATATGCTTCGGCATTAGAAAAAGTAATAATAAATTTTATTTTGAATAAAATTATATATAAATTTATCTAGATTGATTTTATTTATTATACTGGTGATCTTCCACCTCATAATGTTTGGAATCAATCACGTGAACAACAACTCTATTCACTCAAAACTATAAATGAATTATTAGCTAAAACATTTCCTAATAAAACATTCTATTCAGCAGTTGGTAATCATGAAGCAGGTAGAATTTTATTTCAAATAAAAAACAAACAAAAAAAAACTATTTTCTATTATTTAGCTCCATGTAATCTTTTTCCTACACCAAATGTACGATCGGATAATATTTCATGGTTATATCAAGTATTAGCAGATAATTGGATTAAACTTGGTTTACCAAATGATACACGTAAAAGTATTGAACATGGAGGTTTTTATACAACTATTATACGACCTGGTCTACGTTTAATTTCATTGAATATGAATTATTGTTCATGGGAAAATTTTTGGTTATTTATTAATTCAACTGATCCACTTGATCAATTACAATGGGTAAAAATTATTCGAAAAAGAAAAAAATAAATAAATAAAAGACTATAAGAAAATAATAGAACATCTTAGTTTTATAGATGATTCAATGGTTACAATATGCTGAAGATCATGAAGAAAAAGTTCATATTATTGGACATATTCCACCAAAACAATGTTTAGCATCATTTAGTTGGAATTTTAATAAAATTATTAATCGGTAAGAATTGAATCCATAATTTATCCTCTTTTTCAAATTTATGATTTTTAATTAATTAGATATGAAAATATAATTGCTGGTCAATTTTATGCACATACACATAATGATGAATTTGTCATAAATTATGATGAAATTGATCAACAACGTCCCATATCAATGGTTGACCAATTTTTTTTGTTTTTTTTTCATTATTTGAAAAATTCTCAATTTTATTTTTTTTTTTTAGGCATATATAACACCATCATTAACAACTTTTTCTAATCTTAATCCAGGTTATCGTGTTTATAAAATAGATGGTAATTATCCTGGAAGTTCATATTGGGTACTTGATCATCGTACTGTAATTATGAATTTAACAGCAACAAATCTATATAATCAAACAATATTTATTGATGAATATGATGTTCGTAATGCATATAATATGGAAAATTTATTTCCAAATGATTGGCATAATCTAATTGAAAAATTAAAAAATGATATTGATGGTTCATTAATGGGTTTAATATATCAATATTATACAAAATCATATGCAAATGGTAATCAATGTGATCATAATTGTCGTCGAGGACTTTTATGTGATTTTATAACATATCGATCTGAAGATTCACATGCATGTGATTTAATTCCATATTGATTTGTTTTCTATAATGTTTCTATTCAACATTTTTTTGTAATATAAAAAAATTTATATTGAATATCTATTGTTTAATCTTAATAAAGACTATGGACTTGGTATAGAACATACGATACCGGCAATAGTTATTAGATGGGAAAGAAGAAGATTTTATTTGTTAGATTGATTTTTAATATTTTAAGGATAGTTTCTATAGTTAAAATGAGTCCATTGAAAAGATAAGATATGCAAAATGAAACAATGTCGTTTTTTAGTTTTCTTATCTAAATACTGTTAGTTTTCATTTTAAGGATGAAGGTAACAAGTTGTTTGCTTGTTGTTTTATATCTTTTAACAATTTATGTAACAAGAATTGATGTTCGTTCAATTCTACAAAATTCTATTGATCAATTAGTGAGCAATTCATTCGATGATGATAAATTAAATTTAATGCATAGTAGTATCAGTAGTTATCGTCATCGTTTGGAACATTCTACTAAATTTCAAGCACTTCGATGGTCTCTTAGAAAATTAAAAAATGATGAATTATGTGAATTTTGTGATTTAATGGTTCCAGTTGTAAGTTGAATTCATTACTTAACATATGATGCACAAATATCGACTCCTACTATTTCTCTTCGATAGAAGGGTAGTGTAAGAAAAATTTTTTATCAGAAGATACTCATATTGCATGTTTGTTCGCACTAATACCCGATATAGCGAACGGTCTACCGACACTGTACTAGTAAGTTTTTGTCCGGTTCGAATCACATAGAAAGTTATACAAAATGATTCTTCATGATTGTGAAGTTATTTCAAATGAGGAAGTGTATAACAAAATTAAGTTCTATGAAAATTTCCTATAATCTGATAACTAAAATATTTTCTTTCATATTATTAGATTCGAATATTGATCGAAACCAATCGAACATCACATTTAGATGACGTACTTTTATTTATATGTAAAGAATATAAAAAAATTGAACAAAATGTTTGTATTGGTGCAGTTCATGAATATAAAGTAAACAATATATAAATTAAATCTTTATTTCAATTTAATGTTCATTTATTATTATTTTAATAGGATGCTGTTCTAGAAACAATTACTACATCACCTCTTAATAATAAAGGTTTATGTGCAATAGCATTTCAATGTGAACCACAATTTGATTTTCCACTTTTGAAATGGAATGTTACATTACCTGATAAACCAAAACCACAGCCAAAACCACCACAACCACCATCGGTGAGAAAATAAGAGAAATTAGATGATATTGTTAATTTTATTGTAGCCAGAATCACCTAAATTAACTGTTCTTCATCTATCGGATATTCATATTGATTTTGCCTATAAACCAGGATCATCAGCTGATTGTCCTGAGCCTTTATGTTGTCGAGCGGGTCAACCTGGTAAGTATGTTCTATAACAAAAAAAATACAATTGTTTTACTTTTGAATTCATATAGCGCCTAATCAGACAGGTGCTGGTTTCTGGTAAAATTCTCTGTTAGTTTTTATACTACATGAAATTTCTTTTCATTATTATAGGGGTGATTATAGAAGTTGTGACATACCATATTGGACTGCTGAAGGTTTATTAAAACGTATTGTTGAAATTGAAAATGTAAATATTAATTTTTTTTTAAAGAACTAATCTGTACACTATTTTATTCTTAATAGATTGATTTTATTTATTACACTGGTGATTTACCACCTCATAATGTATGGAATCAATCTCGTTCTGATCAACTTTATTCAATACGTACTATAAATCAATTATTAACAGAACTTTTTCCTAATAAAACATTCTATTCAGCAGTTGGCAATCATGAAGCAGGTATTTAACTATTTCTATTTATCTATTGTTTCTCTTGAATTTTTTTTTTCTGTTAAGCACCTTGTAATATGTATCCAACACCAAATATTCGATCCGATAATATATCTTGGTTATATGAAGTATTGGCTGACAATTGGATCAAACTTGGTTTATCGGCTGATACACGTGAAAGTATTTTACAGGGTGCTTTCTATACAACAATAGTACGACCTGGTTTACGTTTAATATCATTAAATATGAATTATTGTGCTCAAGAGAATTTTTGGTTATTTATTAATTCAACTGATCCTCTTAATCAACTTCAATGGGTAAATTTTATAATAATAATAAACAAAAAAAATAATTGAATTTGATAATTTGTTTAGTTTATTCAATGGTTACAATATGCTGAAGATCATGAAGAAAAAGTTCATATTATTGGACATCATCCACCAAATTCATGTTTAACAGCATTTAGTTGGAATTATTATAAAATTGTTAATCGGTATTTATAATGAAATTTTTTATTGTTTTTTTTTTCTCTTGTTTTTTTGATTACATCAGATATGAAAATACGATTGCTGGTCAATTCTTTGGACATATACATGCAGATGAATTTACTGTATTTTATGATGAAATTGATCAAAAACGTCCTGTTTCAATCGTAAATATTTATTTTTCTGTTGTTAATGAATAATAATTAATAAATTTGTTTGATTTAAGGCTTATATAGGTCCATCAGTAACTACTTATTCACATCTTAATCCAGGTTATCGTATTTTTACAATCGATGGTAATTATCCTGGAAGTTCATATTGGGTACTTGATCATCGTACTGTAATTATGAATTTAACAGCAACAAATCTATATAATCAAACAATTTTTCTTGATGAATATAATGCTCGAGATGCTTATGAAATGAAATATTTATTTCCAAATGATTGGAATGATCTAATTGAAAGATTACAAAATGATATTGATGGTCCATTAATGAGTTTAATTTATAAATATTCTAGAAAATCTCAGAGTATCGATTGTGATCATGATTGTCGACGTGCACTCTTATGTAAATTAAAATCTGCTCGATTCGAAGATCCTCATGCATGTGATTCAATTCCACCATTTTAATAAAATTTATATTTGAAATCGAACTTATCATGAAATGATCTAATGAATGATAATAATCAAAAATCTATGAATATTTTATTATTTATTTAAACAAATACGACATATATATATATATATATACACAAGTCTTACATTTTTTTTCCTCTTCGTCAAAAATAATTCTAATAATAAAATTTTTCCATTATCATCGTTTAAATAAAGCATAGAATGTTAAACCCATACCAATACATGTAGCCAATATATTCCATAATAAAGTAATACGAGACCATAGAC